CTTTTACGCGCGACAGGCTTATATGCATTTGACCCGTTTGATTTTCAGGCTTCTATCCGCGATGTGCTTGTATGCAAACCCGGCTTTTATCCGCGACATTACGGTACTTCATGGAATACGAGTATTATTGCTGTAGTACGTTATTTTGTGTACGCCGTGTGTACGTCATGTTGGTGCATGCGCGTGTTGCTGTGGTGTGAAAAGCAGTCTTCATCTTGAGTTCATCATGTCTTTGTCTTGAGTTCGTCATGTCTAGTAGTGTTTCTTCGTCGTGTCAATAAACAGTCTCTAAATGTAGTTATCGTCGTCCCTTTGTATAAGTGTGGAGATGGCACGGGACTGGGAGCAGGTAGAGAAAGGCAGTTACAACACTATCTTGAGAAGCTTTTTCTTGTCGTCTGCATACAAGTTATCTCCTACTACTACTACTAGTACACTGGCACTGCGTTTGTCGATCCCATTGTATTTGACATCATACTAGAGGAAGAGTGTCGTGGAGTTCACATAATTATCACAGGACAAAAATACATTTCTCATGAAATAAAATTGATGATAGCTAGACGATTGATACAAAGTCTTTGCAGTCCTTGAGGACTGATAGTATTGTCACGCAACTATTACGAAGTCGTTGATTACTTTTAGGGCATTCATTCAAGCAACATCAAACAAACGCGATACGCTACTTGAAAATGGAAACAAATTCAAGCATAACGACAGAACAGCAGACCAGTCGAAACGAGTAAAAGCTTCCATACCTCAGTCATTGTCCCGTTGGACAGCCTTTTGACACGGTGGAGAGGGGACGGCTCGATACCGGGACGCTTTGACAGCCAAATTTGTATACACCCAAACCGATCATCAGCGTTGATTTTTCACTCGAAATATGTTTGTGGAAGGAAACTGGCATGTTGAAGTTTGCTCTGGGGCCAGAGTCAATCGAACTGAGCCACTCCTTTGTGTTGACCCATTGCCTCCAAAATGCCCAATTTTTCGCTTCAAAAAGTTCAAATCAGAGGTGGCTCCAAACCGGACACATTTTAGAGTGCACGTCAAATTCACTCTGGGTCTGAAATTAGGTAATTGCTATCGCTCTACGACGGCCAGTACAGAGTAACAATAAGCCTTGTGTGTGCTTCCATTAGTTTTGATTGGTATGCGGTGCTTTATTGGCGAGTGGCGAGCCGCTGTTTACCTGCGACAAGAAGTTGATTTTTCGAAAGTCGTAAAACTCAAGTCGCAGTGCGAAGCAACACGTCAAAAACGCACCTGCTTGATATGGCGCTTCGGGTCATCGCAGAGCCATGAAATCTTGGTTCGGAGTATAACACATCGTAGTCTCACTGTGACATATGTTTTCTAATCAAAATACCAAGAGAGAAAGTGAATATTGAGTCAGTTCCGGTTTGCAACCTGTGTCCTATTTGAAACCGTCCCCTCTACAGGCAGCTCTTGTCCAGTCAAACAGGGTATCCTTGTGACGTCGAACGAAAGAGAGTGTCAGTGTATCTGACTCGTCAGATTGGAACTGCGCTGATCTTTTCTCGTTCTCCGCTTTCTGCTTTCATCCCGCGCACTGATGAAACCGTTCAAACGTCTTACTGTCAGCAAATGCACAGCAGAACTGGCAGCCATGGCCAGTCAAACAGGGGATTCTTGTGGCGTCGAACGAAAGAGAGTGTCAGTGTACCTGACTCGTCGGATTTGAACTGTGCTGAATTTTCTCGTTCTCCAATTTCTGCTTTCATCCCGCGCACTGAGGAAATGTCTTCAGAGAACCACAAGACGCTTTCTAGATTTGATTTTGAACGTCTCCTTTTCCTCCTTGGTTACCTCGAGACATATTACTGTCAGCAACTGCACAGGAGAACTGGCAGCCATGGCTGCAGTGAAGAAAGGAACGCGCTGCCATAAGGCAAGCAAAACTGAAAAGGAGTTTGTTCTTGTTTTACTACACACAGGATGGTGTGACTGGATAAACTGGACTCCTGGACCGTGAATAGGGGACTTGTGGAAAAAAGTGTACTCCTTATAGGGGATTGCGCGGCTGGATGGAGCTGATCAAAATTGAGTGGACTCCTGGACTAGACTCTGTATAGTGGATTTTGGACCAATGGACTCTATATAGGACGCTGGACATCATATAGTGCATGGACTTTATACTGAGTCCAACATATACAGTACAGCCAAAAACAGAGAGGTTCCAGGCTGTCCAAGAGAGTGCTCAATACTGAGTGGTAGAGCTGGTTCAAACAATAGGAGGACAGAGGAAGTGTTTTTACTCAGAGATTCACGCACTAAGCGATCATCAGAAAACAGTAATGGGAAATCTGGATCAGTATTGGTTTATACTCACAAAGCAAAGTAAATAGCTGCAGCATGGCGCAAATCTAAAAGTTGTGAATGGCGGCAGTGCAAAGCGTGAATGACAGCAGTGGTGAAAGGTGACAACCACTGGAGCTGGTGGACTCTTACTTAATTAGGTGATGGCTGTAGATGGTTTAAAGTTCCAAAGGTAGTACTTATTCTCATGGCGACACTTCGACACAAGCTCACTCCTTTTGTTGAGAGAGAGGTGCTTGGGTGCTTGCGCGATTGCCAATTTTTTTGCCAGGCACAGGTTGCACCTTTTGCTATTGTTGCTGTAGGCCGCTGCTCTGCGGTGCACCGCCCATTGAATGCTGCATGCCTTCCCTTCATCCTTTTTGGTCCAGACGTACTGCGATAGGCAGGTGTCCTTCTCGTGTTGTCTGTGGCGGAATGAGGATTGGTGGTTATAGTAGCGTTGTTTGAATGTTGTTGCTGTTAATCCAGTATATTCCTTCTTCTCCAAACCTGCAGTGACTCTTGCCTTATATACAATGCTCTCCGTTAGACACGCTCCGTCCAGTGGACATGAGTCTTTCGCCCGACAGTTACAAGTCCTGGTATCGTTTTCACCTCCGTTAGCTTGTTTCTTGGGTCGTAGAATCGCAGTACAGCCATATAAAACAATTTCACATGCTGTTATTACAGATAGGTATCATCCCATTGTTTATTCCACAATGAATTCAGGCACGGCATTAGTGATAGATTGACGAAAACTGGAAGCTTCTGCAACAAGGGAAACCCACCGATATAATCCTATTGAAATGTTGTTCAAATGGTACATGAGGGGGCGGCTGCTCCCGCGTGAAGTTGCCCCCCCCCCCCCCTCCCCCCCCCCTTAGCTACTTTATCTTTTTATCACTATGCAGGTGTAGTTTCAAAAATGGAAATCTTGGGGAGGGAAGAACAGTTGGGGAGCATTTCTGGCACTCGAGTAACAGGCGCTGCGTCAAGGTGGAGCAGGCACTGCACAAAAGGATATATGCCGGAACTGTGAAAGAATTTCCTGACACGAGTACAGTGAAAATAGAGAGGGAGAGAGGAAGAGAGTTAATTCACTACCAACTCTGACTTCGTGTGCCACCATTGTCAAATAAGTGTCTGAGATAATCAGCAGGAGCCTTTTGTTACATCAAGTGCGAGAACGCGTATTTTTAGCATCTCTATCATCACATAGACAGTGTCTACATGGAACAAGTTGACTATTTGGAATAGGAGGAGACAGGATGATGGACAGAAACAAACGGCACAATATAACATGATACAACCCACCATTGACTAAAACGGAAGCCACAGACATTGCATGTAAAAAAAAACTCTGGCTCATCACCAAACACTTTCCTTCTAGTTATTAACAACTTGGGCACGACGAGAGACTAGGGAAGGAAAAAGCAAAATTGATGTTCAAGTGCATGTGGAAGTTTGAACGGACGAAAATGCCACAACCTCAGTGTCAAATTAGCTGGGATCACACATTCATCAGCCTACTCTTACGGCACCAAGCGGTCTTGTGTATGCATGGCTGAGAAACTGGTGATACTGGAGATATTGTAGGCACCCAACATAAACAAAAAAGCCAAAGTGGCTATCAAAATGCCAACATGAGAAAATAATTGCCTGTTCTCCTTCTTACCATCGATTGCACAAACTATTTGTCGACATCCACCCGTATAATGTTTTCTTCCCATGATGCTCTCTTGTTCTCTTCACCCTGCTATACCGCTCACCTGGTGTTTTCTTTCTTCTCTTGCTGAACTGATAGCAACGGGATTTCGTAACCTCCCTCCCCCCCTGCTGTGCTTCTTAGAATGGTATCAACTTTACTTCCTCAAGTTCCCCTTTGAACAAATGGTGGAATGCTACGTTGTGGAAAGGGAGCAAAATTTTGTAAATGGCATTTATTTAAATCCAATTTATTTTCCATTATCAGCGGGAATTCACAACCAAATGGGAACTTCCACCTCCTATAACCGACACCATCCGCACCATGTCTCCCTAACTAAAGTATCACTTGAAATGTCACACTAAAGTCGCGCTTTGCCACCTTTGCGCGCTATGCCACCTGCTTTTTCACGCTATACTCATTTTGCCCACCCTGTTTTAGCTACCTGCCTGGGTATAAATTTGGACCCAGACGATGTACAGGTTATCAGTTGTCTGAGGATTGCCTTAGCTTTGCTATGTGCATGAAACGCAGGGTTACAACAATGACCTAGCCGGCTGTCTCTGTTCTCTTCTGCCTTTGTGGAAATCAACATATTGGAACACTGGAACATACCTGCTTTATCATTCCTCGATTGCAGCATCTACGGAAAGAATAGTGTTGGTTGCTTTTGGCGGTGATGGCTTCGGTCATTACCCATCCTGATTTTGTTCCTTTGAAATGAAAAGTTTTTAATTTATATTAAAGAAAAAGACCAAGGAACTGCATCCACCGGCGTTTAAGTTTTCAATTCCTTTTTTATCATGATTTTTAAAATAATTTTCAGAGCTGGATTTTCTTTCACCAATACCCTTCATCTTTTCTGCAAACCGGGATTAGGGGTCTCTGATGAAGTTATAAAAACATTGCTAGGTTGGTAAACCGAGATGTTAATTATGATGTTCGTGTTATCTGCCCTCTTTTGCATGTTCAGAGAGATACGATTGCATGGGAAGTGAAAGCCTTCTAATTTTAAATACAAGCGCACACTCGCAGATGAGCCTGGACATGGCACTAACTCATTGTTCAAAGGCAGGACTGTCACTCCCGAGCCATCCAGGCTGCATTTCATCCGCAGTTAGCTCTGGCAAGATTAACAAGAGGGTTTGGCTAGTGACACCTGCTTGGCTTGTAAAGTCAATTTTGAGTGAGGACAACATAACCGAGGATGCATCACGTGATCAGTTACACAACGTGGTCTGTGTCGGTAGGTCACAACATATTCATATAGCGTAATAAGCACAATACAGTTTTCAATGAATCTTATCGTACCTTGCAATGGCACGTTTTGGCCATAACTCTTGAACGGCGGGTCAAATCGAGACAAAACATTTTCAGAGATTTTGTAGGTATTCATGCTCTTTCAACTGATTTAGCACTCGATATGAATTTACTAATTCGATTTTTTAGGGAATTTTTGTGTAGTCGGCCACCTTAACCTGCATGATGAGCTAACTAGGCAAAAAAGCAAAGTGGAGGGCCCTGAGCTTCGAAGCTCTCTCGTTAACTCGGATGGAGAGCCAAGGATTAATTTATAAAAAGTAAAAAGCACCAAGGAACTACAAGTTACGCTATACTGTCCATTAACACGACCAATTACTAAATATTCAGCTCATGCGATGACATTGCATGACACTGACCGACGGTACTGACGTTCTACAAACTAACTGGCTAACAGTTCCAGCACATCTTGGATGCGCACTCCAACAGCCTTCCAACTTGGAAGCTTGTAAGTTATGTGCAAGATGTGCTAGAGCTGTTAGCCAGATAGTTGTAGAACGTCAGTACCGTCGGTCAGTGTCGTGCATTGTTATAGCATGAGCTGGTTGTTTAGTAACTGGTGGTGTTAGTGGACATTGTTTAGTAACTGGTGGTGTTAGTGGACATTGTTTAGTAACTGGTGGTGCTAGTGGACATAATAGTGTAACTTGCAGTTCCTTGGTCCTTTTTTACTTTTTTATCAATAGTTATAGTATGGAAAGGGACCAGAGAGCTACAAGTTATTCTATAACTTGTAGTTCCTTGGTCCTTTTTCTCTATCATAAATTAATAATTGGCTCTATAGGATATTATGTGCCAGAACTTTGCAGCCTAGAGAGCGTGTGTGGGCAGGCGTGTGTTTACCGCCATATTGCCAGGTGTGTCTTTACCACCATATTAACAACTATAGGATATTATGTGTTGCTCCTTACCTGGGAGCTTGCGCTATTCCTGGTGACTTGAATTATCACTTGACTGACTCAAGACTGCCATCCAGAGCACATGAAAAGTCCATCGAACCGTCCACTCGGCAAACCTTCAAGAAAGCACCACTCCCTGCTCAATACACAGTATTTCGAGGAATTCACCCCTCATCAGTTGAGCTTGAGTAGGCTGAGGAAGACCACCACTTATATAGTGCTCTTCAGGCAAAAACATCACCAGGGATACAAACTTACGGGTACCGCTTCGTTTCAAGTGCGACAAACACCTTGTGACACCAGATAGCAGCACGAGTCAGTGTCGCTCATGGAGGTGCTGAAAAGACGCAATTATCGTCGAAGTCGCACAAACCTCTTCTTTATAGATGATATCATTTGTTGCAAATGATGCAGACAGCTTCTTGAGTCTTCAACTGCGTTAAATAACTGAGGAGGGGGCACCCAAACACATGTAGAGGAGGGTGTTTCGAATAGGAACGGTTTGAAAGCAAAAGTGTGTAGACCCAAACCGATCATCAGCGTGGATTGTTCACTCGGAGCTCTTTCTCTCAATACACTACACTGCAAAACCTCTGGGATATCTAGCCTGGACTGGTACTGTTGCTACTCTCAGAATGCTTGTCAAGCACTGCCCCAAGAGTCTCCTGTTTTTGAACTGCGCGCATGACGGGCGGTCTTTTCCAATTTTAACAGTCTTCAGTCGGTAGATGGTGCAAAAATGTGTATGGCAGGTGTAGTCTCCTAGCCACAAAAGCCTGAAAAATGAGGGTCACATGCACCAGTACTATAGTATCGGTTCGCTTATGGTTGATCAGTAAAGGGTTAAGATTACCAGTAGTGGACTAGTGCACTTTAGCATTCGTTTTCATAGAATATCTATATTGGCAATAATATCTCATAATTATGATCTGCATTCAACATTGATTTTTTCTAATTTCAGAATTTGCTGCTTGTTCATCGGTCACGTGCCAGCAAAATGCCCTCTGTAATTCGACAGGACAATGTGAATGTAGAATGCCTTACTATCACGATGGTACAAGTTGCTCTCGTAAGTGAAAGCAATGAGTTGGATTGCTCAGACCTGGCGGCAGTTAGCCTACTGTTTGGTTTATCCACCAGTACAAAGTACACACATAGTCTAATTATAGTCCATTCACCAGATATGAATTTGGAAAATTCTTTTTTCATGCCTAAGTGTCTTTCCCTGAAACGAGTTAATTTTTTTATGACTTGGGGCTCCCCGCGTGCTAGTTTGCACATGAAGTGTTTGGGTACGTGAGGGCTGCGTCCCACCCGCCTGTGTGGATTCACAGGAAGTGTGAGTTACGAAGTCCAAAGAAAATGTTGAGCAGTCTCTGATGAGATGACGACTTCACCATACCTCAGCGATTAGAGCAGCACTAGATTCAAGCGAGGGTCCCTGTTTCGAGTCCTGGTGGTGACAGTGAACATTTTTCTTCAGACTTTTCCCTTTTGTGTCTTTCCCTCCAACAAGTGATTTTTTTACTTGGGCTCCACGCGTGCTAGTTTATACGTAAAGTGTTTGGGAACATGAGGGCTGCGTCCCACTCGCCTGTGTGGATTCACAGGAAGTGTGAGTTACGACGTCTGGAAAAAATGTTGAACAATCTCTGCTGGGATGACGACTACACCATAGCTCAGTGGTTAGAGCATCTCTAGCTACAAGCGAGGGTCCCTGGTTCGAGTTCTGGTGGTGTAAGTCAATTATTTCTTCAGATTTTTTCCGTTTGTGTCTTTCCCTCAAACCAGTTAATAATAACAATAATAATAATTTGAAAGTCGGATATTGAGCCAATAATAAAAGTAGAAAGGAAATTTTTGGGTCGCAAGTTTCCAGGCAAACACACATCCAGTCAAATATGGGACTTGTCAAAGTATCTGAACGGTTTCGGTCCCTTCTAATCAAGGATTTTACAGGGAATGGTTCAAGTTGGAAAGACTAAAACTTCTATAGCGTAAAGATAATGAGATAACAACACTTGTGACAAGGTGGAAAATTATCTAGTTCAGAACGACACAAAATTCGAAGGAAAAGAATAATAGTGCCAACAACATAGTGTGCAAATTAAGTTACATTGTTATCACCTCGACGAGGAGTAACACCAAACAATTGCAGCGATAACACATTTTCTTTCTGTACGCAAAGTTCAGGATGCAACCTAAGGATATACAAAGCTTCTAACACAGCCAACGCAACGCACATCTACCACGTTACAATATTGAGAAAACATTATCACTACAAATCACGACAATTGTTACGGGTTGACAGATATTGCTTGATCGACAAAGTGCGATTCTTAGCTTCGTTCGGTGTTGTCTCCTCTAATGTCCCGTCATCTTAGCTCTTCGCGGCACCACCACTATCAATCTCTGTCTGTTTCCGCGGCCTTCCACGTTTCCTGACACTGGTCGTTGTGTGTGCGATGCCCAGCGTGCTTTCAGCTACGTCTCCTCCACGTGCGATATTCTGTTGAGCTTCTTACTCCAACTTGTCCGGTGTCCGATGTAGAGATTCGTTTTCGCGGTCCACCATGTTTTCGAAAATTCACTGTTCTTGTCACTTCCGTTGCCGTTGCGTCCTCACCAGTCCGTATTTTCACTTAGCTTCGCGTAACCCTTCCCACCACCGTAAATTTTGCAACCTGCCACTAAAAGCTGCTTTCAGCCGTTTTTCTTTTGTGCCAGGTGTACATCATCTGTATCCAATCCATTGTTCATGCTTGGTGACCAGCTCCCTGTGAACAGCTGTTCTATCAGTGCCAACTTGATAATTAATGGAACCTCTGTCTATATTTGCATGAGAAACAGTGTCTGTGAGGCATAATACAGATGTCTGATATATGAAAATGGTCCAGGTCAGCAACATTTTGCCCAATTACCCTCAAAAACCTTTGTTTTCCAGGTCAGTTTGTGTCTGACTTGACCTTAAAGAAGAAAAACATGAACATCTTTGCACTAATTTTTGAAATTTCACCCTCTTTGTAACACATTTGAAGTAAATTTCGCATCCCGCAACAACTTTTGAAACTGAACAGTTGAATTCAAGGCTAGTAGAAATTCCCCAATGCTTCAGTTTTGTGCCAGGTACATCCCTGGACGAAGCAGAGCATCAAGAAAGACTCAATAAAGGATTATGATTAAAATATTTCCTGAAGAGATGTGTGCTAAAAACTCCGCAAAATTGCAAAATCGTACATTCTTCTAGGCACCGTACGGCAAGATTTATCCCAATTACCCCCCCCCCCCCCTTCGCCCAGGAATGTTTCTTGCACTCAGTACACATGTAGGAAGGTATAGAAAAGTAAAACTGGACAATCTTCGGACCAAATTTTTCCTATTGAGCTACCTTAAAGTCTCCCACATTGCGTCCGTCTCCTGAGTTATCTGTATCTGCTTCTCAGGGTCAGGTGGTTAATACCAAGAACTACCAGAGGTCAGTTATTGGCGACACTTCCGTGGTTGACGTGTGCCGTTTGTGTGGAGGTCCGGGGGAGACTTTGGGGAGGTCTCCAAGGTCGTTTCTCATCTCCTGTACATGGATGACATTAAATTGTACATCGCGACCAGCTTAAGCCCATCATCAACGTCGCCCAGATCACACCTTCGGTCATTGGCCTGGTGTTTCGTGTTTCGAAGTGCGCCACGCTTCATGTACACCGGGGTGTGCTTGAGTCAAGTGATGCAGAGCCTGTCGAAAACACTATTGGGCATGGCTTTACGCACTCTGCAAGAAGATAACATGTACAAATACCTCGGCTTCATTGAATCAGCTTCACTGCAGCATGGGATAAGGAGCAAGCTTCGTGAGGATTGTGGAAAGCGATTAGATGCGATCTTCGGGGGGGGGGGGGGTAATTGCTGGATATTTAGCAAAGGCTGTAAACACATACGCGTTGCCACTGCTCACCTACAGCTTTGGTATCATACACTGGCGACACATAAAATTAGAGCAGCTGGATGTCTTACATCAGGAAGAAGTTCACCAAGAAGGGATGGCATAACCCTCGGGCTGACACAGAGAGAGTGCATTTGGTGCTCTGAATGCGGCCGTGGATTCCAGAGTATGGTAGATCAACATGAACGATCCATCATCCAAATCAATAAGTACATCAAGGGCCACCAATACCACATTGCCATTGCTCTCTTGAGACAATAACATCATGCAAAAAAACTCTGTCTCCAGTGATGCTGCGAATTTGTGGGGCAACGATTGGTGTGGAGGAGTCAGCCACAAAGGAGTAGGTACGCCAGGGATACCAGCGGCATAGGGAGGAGATAATCAGAAAGAAGCCTCTGCATAGCCAATTTTGGCTGATGCTGCAGGATGCTGAGGTGGATCCAGGGCTCTCCTTTGCCTGGTTGCGGTCTTCTGCTTTGCGTCCGGCGACAGAAAGTATTGTAATGGCCATACTTTTTGTAAGTGTGGATGACATTTGGACATTTTTTAGCTCCGCGGGTCGGAGTATTTTTGTCGTGGGTAAAGAATGCCCACCACCCCTAGATCACATACAGCTGCAAACTCGGTCTGTAGTCAAGAGCCAACTGCTTTTGCAGAGAACATGCCCACTGGGCACAGCCAGAGCTGAAATGAATGCCTGGCAGTTATGGAGGAATTGTGTTGAGTGCACAGCGAGGCTTCAGACTGCGAACGTCGCCAGACATTGGACGACCTGTCGAAGTAGTGGCTGGAACTTTCCGCCAGGATCGACACGAACACTGGGCCTAGTCGGGCAGAAAAAGAGCCACCTAAGCGGGAACCTCGAAGGAAAACCCAAAAGACTCCGCCATTACCCAATCCTCGGCTGCAGAACAGCTGCTCGAGGATGCGTACAGTAGAACTACTTTTGAAATTCGTTGTACCGACACGGATGGTGAGCATGAGTCGGAGCCAGAGAACACTCGTACAAGTACAGTCAGTGATGCGGGCGCGGATGTAAGTAACGTTTGTTGTATAAACACTTTGGCCCAATCACGTGCCCAGGATCCTGGCCGCAGTCAGTCAAGCTGCAGTAGCAAGCTGCCAAAGTTCAGCGAACTGACCGACGAAGTGGTAGATGTAGACAGCTGGCAAGTGCTAACCAGTCCAAAACTGACAGCCAAGAACAGTGTCCTTTTCGTGGGGAGCCTGAAGCCTGACACCTGACACCTCCGACACTAAACTGACCAAGTTTGTTATAAACAGGGCAAGAAGAGCGGATGTAGACCCGAAAGTCTTTGCCTGCAAGACCTTCCCTACAGATGGTCGTGTCTCTGCTAGAATTGTGCTCAGTAAAACAGCGTTGAGCTGATAAATAACCGAGCATTCTGGCCCCAACCAGTGTATTCCCGCTTGTGGAACATTGACAAGACTTAGTATGTCACTGACTCCACCAACAACACGGCCACTGGCCATGAGCATTACGACAGTGATTATCATGCCACCCTACCCTCTCAGAGAGCACAGCTCTCGCCAGAGCAACAGGCCAATAGACCGAGTATGCCAACAATATTTGAATGACAGAGACAGGACCACTCCGCCTGATGCTCACAAATGCCTTTCGCATACTGAATAAGATTGGCGAGCTCCAGCACGTCCTCATGCACCATAATGTTGACCTGGCAATGGTCACAGAGACCAAACTGACTCAGGAGAAAGCCATGCCAGTGGAAAAATCCATATCTGGCTACCACCTTGCTATACGGCGCGACAGAACAGCACAAGGTGGTGGGGTTGCAATTTGGGTGAAGGCTGGCCTACCATATTAGGGGCGTCGGAAGCAGTTTAACATTGGTGCGGCGAAAGTGTGAGAGGGGGGTCCGGGGTTCGTCCCCCGGGATTTTTTTTTGGAAAATTGGGCCTAAAAGGCCATATTTTTAATGCTACCGAATAATATGAGAAATAAGAATATGCATGCTGATGACACACCGCATTGTCGATGTAAAATATGGTACCTGTACAAGAGTCGACAAGCCATCAACAAGGTTGAAAATGTTAAAAAAAAAAAAAAAACTTCCAAAATTATTGGTGTGGCTTTGGCCGCACCTGCC